TGTAAACTATTGTGATGATGTCATAGCTGAATCACATAATAATATTCATCATTTTCGTTAATTAGCATGTTTTGTAGTCCGTCTCTTGTTCTCATTTGTAATAACTCATGTATTATACTATTCGTGTTAATTAGTCTTGTAGTCAGCACTCATGTAATACTGTGTCTTTCATTAAAATATTTCTCTCTTATGCAACGATCTTGAAATATTACAGTAATCTGACAGTTTTTAGAATTCACACGTAGTTTTATTCATTATGTGCGGTTGATATGCAAATGGTATTATTTATGTATAGGTTTGATGATGGCAAGTATGCTCTATGAGCGGGCAGCCCGAATAGAGCCATCATCAAACCTACTTGGTACATGTCTCCGTAGTAACTACAGCACAATGGATAATTATGCCACCCTTTTTAGGAAAGCCTTGTGTAAGCGCCTTGACAGTAAATTTGTATAGCACAGCAGTTTGTATAGTGGCAGTATTGCTAATAGTGCTGAGTGGGTGTTACTACAAACCAATATTATCATAATACATCGTTGCCAGGGTAACATGTACCAAGTGGGCCACCATGCACGCATAATACACCTGCACTATCACTAAGTTCATTGGACGATAGTTGACAACATACATTACATAATGATGACATCATAAACACAATGTTAAGAGTTGTTCTCAAGGCAGGAGCTAGGGAGGATCTTGGAGCAGTTGATTCCTCGATGAGTGGCTTTCTCTGGTTTGACAAACAGTCCGTGAGAAGGCTTGCAGCGAAAGTAGCGATGTCCCTTCACCGACCCATCGTTCTTTCCATCTGCAGAGGAGAGAGAGTGAAAGAGTTGAAGGGGTTAAGGGGTTAAAGTTAATGAGCCAGGGGTTAAAAGTTTTGCACTGCAGTGGTTTGGATGCCATGGGTATCTCCTTAAATAAGCAGAATTTCATGTATAAAGTATTAGCGCCTAGTATTATAACCCCATATAAATTCTTATGGACTTATGGAGGCTCTGGACACATGGCTTTCAGTTTTTCGCACGTATTTAGAATCACGTATTATAGAACATTACGGTACGTGTATTGCCCGTCACATAATATGTAGAAAAATCCTTGCATTCAGACGACTAGATAGGCTTGCTTCGTGCGTCAATAATATGTACTTACTAGGTTTCCGTAGTTCAATCCCAAGCCACACCCCCTTAGAAAACTGGGTGGTTCCGATGAACCGCACGACCCCAAAATCAGCTCCAGTCACAAAGACACTCATCCCGGTCTCCAGAGTGACGTTGGGGAGGGAGGAGAGGGAGAGGGTGGAGGAGGAGAGGGAGGGAGGATGGTGGGGGAGTGAGGAAGAAGAGGGAGGGTTGGTGAGGGAGACTGTGCGAGGCTGCTTGGCTCGAGGTCCAGTTCTGAATGCATGCAAATGAAAAATGTATGCAAGGGAAGAAAGAAAAGAAAAGATTTATAGTTTCAGCATACTCCAGAACAAGGGGTTGGTAGAACTGGTTTTTACTGGTGGCCTTTCTTCGAAAGTCAACAGCCAATTGTGTTTATGTGCTTGTTATAAAGTGGCTGTGTGAGCTTCAGTGGATATCAACTTCCAGTTTTGACCACGAAAGCAGGTGTGTATATAAACTGACTTTGTGGTGTTGGAGGTGTTGAGTCTTCGTTTGTTGACGGGAGGAGAGGGACGAGGGGAGGGGGAGGAGGAGGAGGAGTGGGCTGGGAAGTCAATGGAATCAGTAGTTGGGCCACTGTTGGTAGAGGAGCCACTGGAGGTTGCTGCTACTGCTGGAGGAGAGAGTCTGGAGAGAGAGAGAGAGAGAGAGGTGTGTGGGTTAAACGTGCTACGACAGAGTTGCTGCACTTTTTTTTACTGAATGCACATATCTTCTCAGCTGACCTTTTGACCTTGGATGGTGGTAGGAATACCCCGTGGGCGGGTCTACAGTTGAAGTATCTTACTCCGGAGTGAGACCCCGAGTTGTCACCTCCCCCACTGTCCAACTCCACTCCCATCCAGATCCTGACACACAAACAACACTAACTTTCAGTTTCGTAATAATATGGATTACTACTAGTCAGATGTGGAAATAAACATACATCTAGTGTACATGAACCAGGAAAACACGTTAAAGCACACTTGCAGAAGTTAGTCGTGCTAGTCAAACACACAACACAACCAATTTTGTGTGTACCTACATGTCAGCAGCCAACCAAAATCCATGCTGTAAAATTGTAGTGTAATGTGTGAGTAAAGCTTAACCTGCCACCACGGACACAAATGTGTCCAGAGCCTCCATAAGTCCATAAGAATTTATATGGGGGGTTGAAATACTAGGCACTAATACTTTATACATCAATTTCTGCTTATGTAAGCAGATCCCCATGGCGTCCAAGGAACGCTAATTGGCGAGCGGGAGCGAGCTAACCTAGTGGTCCAAACGGCGCGATTTTTTAT